GAGAGGCAACCACACACTGATGTTTCTCTCCATCTCTCCTTCCTTTCCCCTCTCTCTAAAAATAAAAAAGTAAAATTTCTTACAAAAGGAATGGAAGGGCAGATAAAATGCTTCCCGGATAAGGTCAAGTTAAAGGAGTTCATCATCACCAAGCCCTTATTATATGAAATGTTACAGGGACTTATCTAAGAAAAAGAAGATCAAAACTATGAATAGTAAAATGACAAAAAACTAGTAACTATAAACAACTGAATCTAAAATACAAAAACAAACTAAGCAAACAACTAGAATAGGAACAGAATCACAGAAATGGAGATCCCATGGAGGGTTATCAGAGGGGAGGGGGATAGGGGAGAATGGGGAAAAGGTACAGGGAATAAGGAGCATAAATGGTAGGTACAAAATAGTACCATAGTAGAGGAAATGGAGAAGCCAAAGAACTTACATGTACGACCCACGGACCTGAACTAAAGGCAGGAATGCTGTTGGGAGTGGGGTGCAGCGCAGCGGGGAATAAAGGGGAGAAAAAAGAATGGGGCAACTGTAATAACATAAGCCATAACATATATTTAAAAAAAAAAGAAAAAAGCTTCAGGGCACAGTGGCTTGGGCTTGTCACATTTCATCGAACAATCTGATCATGTGTGAATTTCACAAAAGATTCATATTGTTCTGCTAGTTTGCTTTGAGGATTTGCTCATACTCCTCCCAAAATTTATCTTCAGTCTTTTAAGAAACGACCACACTATTCCAACTTGTGAAGTGTAAAGGGAGGCTGGTTCTTCCTCATCTGGGACGGACCTGGACGACTAGGTGCTGCAAGTGCTGACCTTGAGGTACAAGCTTCATTCTGATTAAGAACAACTTCCGAATGTCCCCACCTCTGATAATGACTACATTCTTGTTTTATGTTCTGAAAAATATGCTTCATTGTTGGAAGGCGCCACTTGCTGCTGGGCGGATGGGCTGTTGCAAAGTCTGTGGTGGGGTCTGCATCTGAAGCAGTGGCAGCTCAGCATCTGGGGGTCTCAGGTCCAGTGTGGGGCCAGAAATAGGGTGCAACATCACTGCTTTGGGGAACCTGGGCTTAGCAGTGCCTCCTTGAACTCCTTGGCTGCTCCACATCGCCCTGAACGCCGTGCCACTGATGGGCCAGGGATCAGGAGTGGATGTGGTGGAAACTGCAGCCCACCCTCAGGCTCCTCAGCAGAGCACCCAAGCCAAGTAGGCTGGCTCCAATCCAGCAATCTGTTTGTGACGCTTTGCTTAGGGCGTGGACCCTCTCACAGAAGACAACTATGTGCTCTGGTTGGGTAAGATACAAACTACGGGAGAGCACAGGGAACATTCTGGAGAGAGCTATCACTTAAACGAAGGTTCTGGTACCAAGTGAATTTACCTGTTTTTAAAGCTTTAGCCTGAGGCCAACCTGAAGTTGTGCTTGGAGAAGCAGACAACAGAGTCAGGGGGGACCCTAGTTGCTGAAAAGTAAGGGAGTAAAACCCAGGAAGGAGATGGCCAGAGAGGGGAGCCCCAAATTCTGTGTATAAATTCTGCCTAGATTGCTCACTGACCTATGAACCATGAATACGGCCCAAAAGATTGAAAAACTGATTCCAACTAAGCTGATAAAATAGGAATCTCAACACTCTGTTGAGTTATATAGCAGGATCCAGAGTTTCCACATGTTCCAATAACCCGATATCCAGGGTACAATGCGAACTTACTCAAAATGTAAATAAAAGAATATGAGACCCATTTTTTCAAAAGAAAAGATAATAAACAGACCGACCTAAAGGCAACCCATATGCTGGAATTAGGAGACAAGGATCTTAAAGCAGCCTTATAACTATGCTCAATGGCGCAGAGAAAAATAGGCTCGTGATAAATAAAAAGACATGAAAATTCAGCAGAGAAATGAAAAATACAACAAAAGAAGCAAATGGAAATTTGAGAACTCTAAACTACAATATCAGAAATTTAAAAAAATCCCTGGTCAGGCTTAACAGCAGAACAGAGACAACAAAGGAGCCAGTGATCTGCCCAATGGAAGCGACCCCGTCTGAGGAGCAGGCCCATGGGGCAATCAAAGACCGAACAGACATGCAACTGGAAATCAGTCCCTGTTGGCTGGATAATTGCATGAAAGTATATTATTACTGTCACACTTTTACTGCCAAAAAAAAAAAAAAAAAAAAAGACTCTCACAGGTTAAGGGCTTTAAGTTCAGATTTCAGAGTTCATGATCCTATCATGTTCTGTTGGACTATTTTCGGAATTTGAAGGTTTTAAATTTTTTTAGGCCTGGCTGGTGTGGCTCAGTGGATTGAGTGCTGGCCTGTGAACCCAAAGGTCGCTGACTCAATTCCCAATTAGGGCACCTGCCTGGGTTGCAGGCCAAGTCCCCATCTGGGGGTGTACATGTGGCAACCAATCTGTGTACACACTGATGTTTCTCTCCTCTCTCTCCCTTCCTCCCCTTCTCTCTAAAAAGAAATAAAATCTCTAATTTTTTTAATGATAAGTGGGGAGGTTAGAAGCTGCTGAAAACCCCAATTAAGAAGCATTCCTCATATTGAAACTTTTATATTTTTCTTCTAACCTGACCCCCATGGAAGTTTGGAGACTCTGGGTATTATTATCATGGCAATATGGTTGTTTGCATAAATTCATTAGGAATCAGTGCTTGTTATAACAGGACACAATTGGAAAGTGGTGTATTACCAAGACTTTGATTGGAATGTCATGTCTCAGAGAGACATGTATAGACTCTGGATGTCAACAGAAAACCTTAAGGAATTAAGATAGACTTTGGAAGCCAACATAAACCCCTTGGAAAAACATCCTGATACCTTACTTACAAGGTTCATTGCAGTCTTTCCAGGTAAGGAGTGAAGGTTGCTTTCCTGGGAGACAACAAAGAAAGAACCTCAAGACATTTGGAGGAACCTCAAGAACCTGAGGAATTCACCCAAACCAATAGGTACTGCAGGCAAATGCTGACGGCAACCATGTGGCTTAGCTTCTTAGCTCTAAGAGGCAAATTATAGTTCAATCTAGAGATTTGTTATGAAGTTCCAGCAAAGCAGACTTAAAAGAATCTGTGATCAATTACCATTCTTGTAATATTCATGCAAATAACAGGCCAAATTTATTGAAACTAGACTTACAATAAATTAGCTATCTTTGATAAAATGAGGGTGACTTTATTTATTTCTTAAAAAAGATTTCATCCATTTATTTTTAGAGAGGATAAGGGAGGGAGAAAGAGAGACAGAGAAATATGGATGTGCCGAAAAACATCGATCAGCTGCCTCTCGCATGCCCCCATCTGGGAACCTGGCCCACAACCCAGGCATGTCCCCTGACCAGGAACTGAACCAGCAACCCTTCGGTTTGTGGGATGATGTCCAACCCACTAGCCACACTAGTCAGGGCTAATAAGGGTGATTTTAGAGAAAAAAGTTGTTCCAATAAGAACTATAATACCCAACTATGGTTATTAGATTCTAGTTCTGTTCATTGTCTTTAAAAATCTTATTTTTCATGTGTGGACTGGACCCTGATATTTTTTTCTTAAAAAAAAAAAATTATTTGTTGATTTGAGAGAGAGAGAGAAACACAGATTTGTTGTTCCACTTAATTTATACATTCATTGGTTGATTCTTATATGTGTTCTGAGCAGGGATCAAACCCACAACCTTGGTATATCAGAACAATGCTCTAACCAACTGAGCTACCTGGCCAGAACCCTGAATTTTTCTAATGAAACTGTTTGGGTGCAGCCCTCTGTACCAGTGTTTTATTTTTCTCCCATCCTCTGCCTTGGAATTACTGAGAACAAAAACTTTTTTTCTGAGCCTATAATTGCAGACCTGAGCCAGACAACACAATGTAAATTTCGGATAAGTCATCACAACAGTTTATGCTTAAATGGCTTTGGTGACTGATGCTGTTTTAGCCACACAGAGAGCTTGCTTGAGCTGGTGTCAGGGCATTCATCAGGGATGTCTGGACTGTAGGCCAGGGAAATTGGTCAGACTATCACGGCCTGCCTTCATTCCAGCAAGAATGAAGCTCTGAACCTTTCATCTAGAGGTCTTCCCTACTGGCAGTCTTAAAGACTCAGAGACTGGATACAGGTATCCTGGCCTACTGTTTCTTCTACCATCTCTGTGGTTCCCGCTTATCAAATGAATACCTAGAATGCCCCCTTTAAAGCTCAGGGACCAGGAGAAAGAGGTGGGCTTGTGAGATGACAAGAGCCAGATAAGAGGGGCATAATAGCCAGGCAAATTCGACTCCATCTTATGAGCTAACCCTCCCTCGATTGAACTGAAACCTAGATGCCCTCTATTCCTCAAGATTGAGGAGTGATCAAAAGAAAAGGGGAAACTGTAACCGCATAGAAACTTCATTTATGTAATATGAGCTTTCCTCCTTTCTTTCCTTTTGATTCAAAATGGCATCACCCAGCACCCCACTCACCTCCCTGCCTCCTCCCTTGCAGGACAACTCCTTTAAGTATACTCAGGACAATGAGGTTCTCATCAGCATCAAAACAAAGTGTCCAGTCTATTGACCACAAAGACAGTTTTGGTCAAACTAGTGATAACACCTAGGCCTCAGTAGCATTTTGGCTCCAGGCCCAGAAAAACAGCCAAACGCCACTATGGCTGACATCAGGACCAGATGCACTGATCAACTACCCACTACCCTAGCATGGACTAATCAGTAGAGACCACAACATGACCATGACTTTAACTCCTCAAGTCATCATGATTAATGATTTTTCCTCTCTGTGACCCATTGCCTGGAAGCCTTCCAGGAGCCAGGTCTTTGAGCATTAGCTAACTTGTTTCCAGACATGAGCTACTTGCTACTTCCTAACACCTTTACTTTCTTAGATGCATTAAAAAAGAAAGAAAAGAAAGGAAAAACATTGCTCTATTCCCAGGGTAGGGAAGACTGGTGGGGGTGGGGTGGAGAGCACCTCATACCTGAAGTGAACATTTTTCCTGCACCAGAGATCACCACAGCCCGACAGTCAGCGTCTTGTGCTATCTTGTTGAAGCACTCCACCATCTCTCTGTGCAGGAGCAAAGAGTGAATAAGGGCTGTGTCTGGGGTGGAAATCCCCTACCCTCATGTCCAACCATCTCTCACACCCCACCCCTGACCAATCCCTCAGTCTCTGCCTCCTCCTGCAGGCAGGCCTTGGGGATCTCCCTGCCAGACCTCCAGAAGGCTTTGTTCATGGCATTCCTCTTCTCCGGCCGGTTTAGCTGTACATGCAGAATGTGTCTCTGGGCAGCTGTCACCCTAAGGGACTCATAGTTGTGGTGTGGGGCTTCACTGGGGGCTGCTCTGGAGGCCTCATCTTGTGCAGAGGAGCCCATGGGGCGAAGGCTTAGGTTGAGACCCAGGTGGGTGGGGGCTGTCAATCCTAGGGAGATGAAGGAAGGGCTTTTGATGACTCCAGATTGGAGATGCAGCACCTTCAAGAGCAAAGGGCACACATCTCCATGACACTAGATTGGGGAACACAGGACCCTAAGAAACCTCAGTTTAGGTAGATACAAAGTTGAAGATTAGGGGTGTATTATCAACGACCTCAGTCTGAGGACCACTTCAAACCCTTAATCCTGGGACTGACCCCGTATTAGGGACAGTGAGCCATTAGTGACCCAACAGTAACACACAGGCCTATAAAACTGGGAGCCATTAGCCGGGAACACATGGCTCTCTAAGTTTAAAGGACACAAACCCTGCATGGCCTGGGACAGTCCTCCCCGTCCTATAATCTCTATGACAGCACGACAGTGTTAATGGGCCCTTAGAGTTCAAGCGGTGACTCACGCCACGTCAGAAGGTCGCGAAGTCTGCTGGAAGCCGCCACCACCGCCGCCATTGCTACTGAGTTGCTGAAGTAACTCGACAAAAGGAAGCCAAAGAGGCGGGCACAAAAGCAGCCATGTTGGGTGAGGGCACCAATGCCGCAGCCAGACGTCGGTGACGCCTCTCCTCCCGCCATCTTTACTAAGGGCAACCGGAAATAGCCTTGATTAGTTGGCTAACAGGACCCTTTGGCCCAGTAGGAACCTGGCCTTAAAAAATAATTCACCGGGTGATGGGCATTCCTGCACAGAGTTCATTACAGTGCTGTTGTATAATGCTAAAATTGGAAACAGCTTAAATGTCCAAGGACATAATGGCTGAATAACTGCGGTCCTAATAATTTACTAGTGCCATGTTAACTAAAAGGAAAAAGTTATCTAGACAGTTGACCCATATCAAGGAACAGAAACATAGTTGGGCCAACATTGACTGACTGATAACTTGTTAATCTCCCACACCACCACGAGGTCCTACTTTCTTTGTACACAGAAACTTGGGGCTGGAGATGAGGAGTGAAGAGAGGATTTATGTGGATCTGAAGTCCATGTTCTTAAATTTCTTTTAAAGTCTTCTATCAAAAAAAGCCAGTTAACCCACCAGCATATGTGCCGTAAAACTGCTTAAGTATGCTCATTAGGAAGATGTTCACCGGGAAGTGAACGGATGTCTCTTGGCAAACAGGATTACAGGGAATACCCTGCCTTAATGAAACGTCCTAGGCAGGGTCTACTGGAAAACAGAACCAGTGACTGTCCATCAACAGAGAATTGTTTAGTTATCTATGCAATGGAAAACTCTTGAAACTGCTATGCAAATACCAAGATATGAAAGAGAAAGATAGAACATTTAGTATCATCAGCATAAAAGTAGGCATACAATGGAGTATGTACGTAGATCTATAGGAGACTCAAAAGTGCTAACAAATAGCAGTGCTGGAAAACAAAAAATGGGGAAATTTACTTTTTACCCCCATGATTAGCTTAAAAATAAATCACAGATTTTGAAGTTTGTGGCTGTAATGTAGACTAGTTTCTCCTTGTCTGGAGGTTCTATCTGAAAATCCCTTGTTGAAGCATATTCATCCGATGCCAGGTCTTCAGTAATGTTAATCTGAGTTTCAAAACTTCAGTGTATATTCTCCAAGTGGGTTTTCAGGAGCACATGCATGAACAAGGTGCTGTACTTTTTCTTAAAATTTCATTTTTAGAGAGAGGAGGGAGGGAGGGACACATTGAAGTATGAAACATCTATTGGTTGCCTCTTGAATGCTCCCAACTGACTATCTGGCCTGCAGGCCAGGCATGTGCCCTGAGCAGGAATTGAAAAATCAAACCAGCGACCTTTTGGTTCACAGGCCAATGCTCAATCCACTGAACCACACCAGCCAAGGCAGTACTATCCTTTTGACTTGCTCCTTTCCACAGGTTACCTCTTCCATGAGCCAAGGTCCTTAAAACAGATTCCTTCCAGGTTGTCATCTGTCACCCCACACAAGTTCCCACCTACCACAATTGGGGAGTACCTATCACACTGTAATTGTACATAGATCTTTTGACCCCGCAATCCCACTACTAGGAATGTACCTTGAAAACAATACCAGGGATGTTGGCCAAGGTATTTGTATAAAGATATACAGCAGCACAGTATATTGTTGGCAGTAGCAAAAAGGTGGAAATACCCTCTGGGACCAGGTAAATTCTGACACACCCACACAAGATAAATTTCAGGGGTAAAGATAAGGAAGTTGATCAGTATGTGGTCATAATACAGAACTGTGCAAATGTAACTCCAAACCATGCTCCTCCCACCCCGTTCCCTGGGTTTTGCACACACATCTTTTTCTGCAGTTCAACCGCAGGGGCCATTGCCCAATGTGACAAGGGAAAAACCATACCAAAAACTGATAAAGGGAATGGAAAGAAGACTCACTTTTCTTTCAGAAGTTTTATGTTCCAACCTTATAAAAAAGGTAGGTGGGGTAGTAAGTAGACAGGATTAATTTCCCTTGAAGTTTTTCCTCCTGCCAAACCATGTACTTTTATTAAGTGAGTCTCCCAACCAGATTGAACTTGCTTAGGCAGAATCCATGAAAAGTGCACCACCAAATCCCTGGAGTTTCCCTCAAGACTCCTTAGCTGCTAGCATTTTGGCTGATCCACAGCCCTGGCTAACCCTGCTTTTCTCAGGGCTGGGCCTGCAGCTGTGCCTTGGCCTGCCCGCCCTTCAGAAGAGCAAGTGGGCGGGAAGCAGACACACCCTGGAATCCCAAAGTACTGTTAATTTTCCAAACTATTTTATTGAAATGTGCCAAGAGTACATGGGCAGCACAAATATGAACAGGAAAAAATAATCACTTGTACAGTAATTTTTAAAAAGTGAAGGTTAATCTTGGGAGATATCAATTCCCTTCCCCTCCCCTTCCATCCTTCCAGCGTTTCCATTATGGTTAAGCCTCTAACCTAGCATTACAAAAAAAGAAACAAAGAAAAAAAGAAAATACAGGAACTTTTGCCAAAAAAACAAAAACAAAAACAGCAAAAAGGAAAGAAATGTTTTCCTGCTCAGATGGGACTCTTCCACGGCAACTAATTACGAGGCATGTTGAGCGGTGGAGAAACACAATTTCAAGGTGTACGGGTATGGACCATCTGCAAAGGAGAAGAAAGAGGCCTGGCTGAGCCCATCTTTGGAGGCTCCCCCACATAGTTCCCCTCGTTCACTGCCCAATGTGACTTAAAAACAAGCCAAATACACAAGACCTTTCTCCTTCCCTTCCCCCATTCCCATGGAGAATCCCATTGCTAGCTCTGTAGCTGGCCCAGGGCTAATATGGCTCCTGCCCTGGGTATTAGCTCAGCTCAGCCAACTTCTGCGACTGACACGGTAGAGCGTTACTGGCAGCTTCTGACACAGAGAATACCAACTCCCTAGAGGACAAGCCCAAGCAACTCCCAGTACACGGCCAGCTGGCCCTCCCCCATGGGGACTATCAGGCTGCTCTCCTGGTAATCAGGTCCCACTTGTCTACGTCAAGGACAATGTGGAAATCTCTGGGGCTGTATCTTGATAGCAGGAAGGACAGCTCTGGCTTGAAGGCAGCCAACCCATTAGGCCACGAGGGGGATGACTATAGGATACACAGATACTCACTTGGGTTTTTCATCTGGTAGTGGTTCAGGAAGCCCAAAGTCTCCAGGGCATCACTCTTAGACTCCCACTCCAGCAGCCCAGAGGAGCTGCGTTCACCTGACCGGAAAGCAAAGGTTTCAGGCTGACCCCAGCAGAAACCAGAGAGCTACCCATCTATAACTGAAAAATGAAGGGGAAACAGAGAAGTTTACTCACTTTTGCCTGAGAATACTTTCACAGAAGATGGTCGCTTCACTCCCAGCTCATCGCAGATCTGCAGGAAAAAAACAGATGCAGAAACACAAGAGTGCCACATGGCAGTATTCAAGCAGACTATACAGTGCATGACTGAGTGCTTAAATTTTTCTGGAGAAAGTTTTTAAGCTTCTATCACACACTAAAGTATCTCCATGACCCCCCAAACTTTCCATCTTCAGCTGCTATTTGAGTGTTGACACTAGGTAAATGTTTGATGAACTAAGTACCAGGACCAAAGTTCAACTGTGACAGTCATACTTCCTGCCCTAGCTTCTTCTGACCTCGCCCTTAACAGGCCCCTCCCTTCAGATGTTATCTAGACACCAGGAGCCTGACAAAGGGGATGTTTTGAGATTGCACTCTGACCATCACCTAATAACACCCAGACAGGGAAAATCTTTCCCAGGTAAAGTATCGACATCTTAGCTTACAAAAAATGTTAAGAGCCTGGCAAACTCCACTGGTACTAGAAGTGTGGTACTGTCCCCAGCACCGCACCCAGGGCCTGGCAGAGATCAATACGTATTTGTTCCAAGGCTAAAATGAAAGGCCCACTCAGATAGCTGTCGTGAGGGACCAATTCCACGGCACCCACCTCAAAGAAGTTCTCCTCTGTCACCTCTAGAGGGGCATTGAAGAAGTGCAATACATTGCTAGGATGCTGGATGCGGTTCTTGGCTGCCTGTTCCGGAGTGGAGAACCGATTGTTCCTTGATTCACTGAAGTCTTTGTAACTGGACGACCCGTCTTCTAGCCCATATGATTGACCAGGCATGATGGCTGGCTGCTTAGAGACACTAAGGGGAATGGAAACCTTTGTCAGGCCTAGTGGCCCCCAAATCCTCCACTGAGGTCTCACATTTCTGCCTGAGAGAAAGTGCTGTAGGCTTTAAGGGCCACTGCACCACAGCTGAGGTGAGGCCCACACCCACCACACCCCGCTACTGCCTTCATCATCATCTCTGCCTCACTGTGTTCCAAGGCTGGGTCCTGTTGTCCAGAGTGGGCCCCGTTTTCCTTCCCATTTCTCCCCAGTCCCTCACTAACACATCCTACCCCAAGGAATTTGGACACCTACCAGACTTTCAGTTTTTGCCCGAACATGAAGTTATTGTTGAGGTGGGTAATGGCCCGATCCACAGCATATCCATCAGCCATCTCCACCATGGCAGCCCCTGGCTTGCTTTTCATGAATTTCACCTTGGGGAGAGCAACCACAGTCATCACCACTGCCCAGCTTAACGGACCCATCTCCTGCCACTTCTAAGTTAGTTAGAACAATTAACTCCTTGTGTATCTTACTTGTGAATGGGCAATCAAGACAAACAGAGAAGTACGCTTGGCCCATGTCAAGTGCACAGCCCAAGGTAGACCGCAGGAGAACGTGAACCATAAGTGAGTCACTTAGCCAAGCACAAGAAAAAACAATAGGCACAGGAGGGGGGGGGGGAGAAAGAAGAAAAAAGCAAGCAGTCCCCAGTCGGTGTGGCTCAGTGGATTGAGTGCTGGCCTGTGAACCAAAGGGCCATCAGCCCGATTCACAGTCAGGACACATGCCTGGGTTGCAGGCCAGGTCCCCAGTAGGAGGCATGTGAGAGGCCACCACACATCAATGGTTCTCTCCCTGTTCTCCCCACTTTCTAAAAAACAACAAAAAAAGCTACATTCTCATGTTGTGTTAACAGACACATTTTTCTAGATACTGGGTTGTGATGTAAATATTTTATTTG